TTTTTTTGAGATGGAGTCTCTGATGCCCAGGCTAGAGTGCAGTGGTGCAATCTGGGCTCCCAGCAGCCTCTGCCTCCCAGGTTCAAGCGATTCTCATGCCTCAGCCTCCCATGCAGCTGGGACTACAGGCCTGTACCATCACATCTGGCTAATTTTTGTATTTTGAGTAGGTATTGGGTTTCACCTTATTAGCCAGGCTGGTCCTGAACTCCTGACTTCAGCTGATCAACCTCCTTGGCCTCCCAAAGTGCTGGGATAACAGGTGTGAGCCACTACACCCAGCCCATTTTTTTATTTTTCTGAGACACAATTTTACTCTGCCGCTCAGGCTGGAGCGCAGTGGTGCAGCCTCAGCTCACTGCAACCTCCAACTCCCAGGTTCAAACAATCCTCATTCCTCAGTCTCCCCAGTAGCTGGGAAAACTAACACTCTAAGTTTTGTTACAGAAAATTTATACTTGCAGGTCTTGTGTTCGAATCTTAAAATTAATTGAACCGATTTTTGTGTATCGTGAAACCCAAGGTCCCACGTTATTCTTTTGCACATAGTTACCCAGTTTTCCCAAAATCTTTTGCTAAACAGGCTAGTCACTTCCCATTTTGTCTTCCTGAGTTTCTTTTGGAAAATGCACTGACTATGTATACATTTGGGTTCATTTCTTGGCTGCCTGATTTTGTCCACTGGCATTTTGCTCTATTTGTATGCCTCTCCCAAATTGTTTGGACAAGGATAGCTTTTCCCTGTTATTTGACATCGGGGAGCATGCTGCCTCCAAATGAGTTTGTAGTTCTGACAATTGCTTGGGATCTTCAGGGTCTTTCATGATTCTATGTGAATCTTAGCATTGTTTGCTTGTATTTTTAAAATTTGGTTCATAACACATATCCAAAATTAGGGAGTCCAGTGGGATATTTTACTACTTGTAACCATTGCAGTGATGAAGTCAGGGTGTTTCTCATGGCCATGCCCCTCTATAGTTTTGCTTTCTTTATGTATTTTGAATTCTTTTGAAACGGATTCACTCTGTCACCCAGGCTAGAGTGGAGTGGCACAAGCACAGCTCACTGTAGCCTCCATCTTCTGGTTTCAAGCCATTCTCCCAACTGAGAATCCAGAGTAGCTGGTACTACAGGCATACACCACCATCCTGACTAATTTTTGTATTTTTTTTTTTTTTAGAGATGCATTTTTGCCATTTTGCTGAAGCTGGTCTGCAACTCCTGGGCTCAAAGAATCTGCCCACTCAGACTTCCAAACTGCTGGCTTTCTAGATGTAAGCCACCATACCTGGCCTTATTTTTTTCTGGTGTGAACACTTGGCGTCCTCATTTCTAGCTATATTGAAAAATAGGGTATCATATTGTTACTGCCACTCACGCTGTGGAGTGGAACACCAGAAGTCATTCCTCCCCTGTAACTGCAGCTTTGTACTCATTGCCAGTTTCTGCCCTTGCTCTCTTCTCCCTGCATCCTGTGATAAACACTATTGTAGTTTTATCTTCAATTAGGTAATTGTTTTAGCTTCCACATGGGTGAGAAGAAGCAGTATTTGTCTTCCTGGCTCACTTCATTTAACTTTATGTCTTCCAGGTTTATTTGTGTTACTGAAAATGATACAATGTCATACATTGTTATGAGTGTGGTGTATTCCATTGTGGCTACATACTGGAGTTTCTCCATCCCCTCATCAGTTGATAGACTGGTAGGTTGATTCTGTGTCTTGGCTATTGTGAATATTGCCACAGTGAACATGGGAAAGCAAGTTAGCTTGCTTTCATTTTCCTAAATTATATATGCAGTGTTGGCTAGCTGAAATGGTAGCTGCATATTTAAGTTTGAGAAAGCTCCAAGCGGTTTTCATAGTGTATATAAAATTGTGATATAAGAGTATCTCTGTATCCAACTCCACTCCTGGCACTCCCTTTTAAATAATTTGTTTCCTTTTTGGTAATATTCATTCCAATTAGAGTTAAATGTTATCTGAAAATGTGGTTTTCATTTACAGTTTTGAGATAACTAGTGATGTTAAGAACCACCTCTTCAAACAAAATTCAAAGTGAATTTTGTCTTTCTTTCAGAAGTGTCTGTTCAAGTTCTTTGCCCAATTTTGATTGGGTTATTTTGTTTTGTATTTTGATCCTTAGTAGCGTTAGTTTCTGCCTCATGTCAGATAATAATCCCTGATACCCGATTACCCATAATTTCCCCCCTAACTGAATAAAGCCTTCTAATTGTTATTGGTTCATTATTGTCTTTACTGTGAAGCTCATGTGTATGTGTGTGTGTGTCAAAAAATTCAGAATTTTTGACTCATTTCATTAATTTTGATCATTTTCCCATATGTTTTCTTCTTGCAACCTATAATCATAGATTAATAGTCCCTGAACTTTCACTCTATGTTTTCCTGTGGAAGTTTTATGCTTTCAGGTCTTGTGTTTAAGTATTTATTGTTGTGGGTGAGCAGTAATTACATGGGGCTAGTGGCATGGGGGTAAGAAGAATTTACCAGGAAAGTTGTAGGTTAAGAAAGGCAGATTCATTACAGAAAGTTTGAAAATACATTGCAAGTGTGCAACAGCCAGATCAGTAAGAGGAGCTGACTGCAAACAGACAAAGGCTTGCTGGAGATTGCTCCTGTGTGCTGAAGAGGGCTTTGTGCAGTACTGATAATGTCAAGGTTGCAGTGAGCTAACTTGCAGTTGTATGGTGATAGCTGGATATAGAAAGATTGGGAGTCATTTGTGCAAGAGGACTCTGTGTCCTGGACCATAAAGAAAGGCAGACTTATAGTTAATCTGCTCTCTCTTTGTGGTTTCCCTTCTGCCAGCCTATCTCCTTTTCCCTAATTAGGACTTCACATTCCTTCCCTGACAGAGCAACAATGATACAACTTTGGAATGTGGGTGATGGTCTGATCTTCCAACTGCTTCCTGCTGACCAGGGGTGTAGAGTTGGCTCTACCTAGGATTGTTTGTCAGTTAGGAAGTTATGTGGGTCTAAATCCCTGAGTTGGAAGTTATTTAATAAATTCAGCAGGGTTGCTGTGGGACCTTGGGGGAACAGCATTTGCAGTCTAAAATTTTGTCCTGCTGTGCCCAAAAGAGAGTCATGAAGTCCTTTTAGTGGCTGATGCCCTCACTGTGGTAACATTTTGGTTTGAAATAGTTGTATCCTAGAAGACACAAAATGAGATATTGACAATCCATGGTGCAACTAAAACTAATATGAGCATTATTATAGGCAGGAGAAGCTGGGACTGACAGATAAGATTTTTAAATGTTAATGGGATAAGGGAAAAATTAAGGAAAAAATGGAGATATATTAGTGAGGTTGAGAAATTGTACAGTTTTGACTCCTGTTTTCATATATTCTGTCCCCATCACTGAACTATTTATAGGTGTAAGTGAATCATTATGAATCTTTCTGGTATTGCTTTTATTGTTTCCCCACCACAGAGAAAG